CCCAAAAATAATATTTTAAGTTTGTTTTTAAAAATATTTTCAACTACAAAATTTCATTTTTTTTCACCCCTACCCTCAACCCCACCCACCAAGCCCCCCACCCTCCAAAACAAATTTATGTTTGTTTTTATAAAATATTTTCAATTTCAAAAATTATTTTCTACTCTAGTAAAAATAAAAGATATTTCTCAAAAACATTTTTCATTCATAAATCAAACACAATATCTTTTCCGAAAAATATTTTTTACTCACCAATCAAACATGAGAAAATAAGTCAAAAATCTACTTATTTTTAAGGAAAACATTTTTCATGAAAAATATTTTCCTTTCATACCAAACACCCATAAAGATAACAATTCTCTTGTTCGAATACATTAGTACTCATTAATAGCCCTTATTAATAGCCCTCACTAACAGTATGTTTTTGTGCTTTACTCCTTGTTAGTCCAATTGTAACATCAGTACCTTTATGTTTTTCTAACTCGAACCTTGACTGAACTTTTGTTGGAGCTTCCTATAATGGGTTGTATTCTACTGAACTTGCATAAAGATGTTGTCATTGTATTGGTTCAATCCATTTGTCTTCTTCTTATGTGAGGAGTTCCACTTTTATCCAAGTTTAGAATTATTTTCCCTTCCATAGGAATGTCTTGAAAATGGCAAAATTGATAATCACCTGCAAAATCAAAAACTAGGTTAGCAAAATAATCAGCAAGAGTATTTCCTTCCCGAAAGGTATGTAGTACTCTTGCTGATAAAGATCTCCTCAAGCAATTTATGGTCACACTCCAAGAGATATCCCACACCCCATCCAAAATTTGTACTATGGCCATAGAATTTGTTTCGATGATGACATGTGATAAAAGATGCTCTTTACAAAAAATCTAACCTTCTCTAATAGCTCTAGCTTCAGCTACCAAATTAGAGGTATCTTGTATTTTGAAACCTTTAGCCACAACCAATGATCTAGAGTAATCTCTAATGCAAAAGGTTGCAGAGCTAGGTTCTGGATTGCCCCTAGATGCATCATCAGTATTACACTTCACCCAATTTGAAAGGGGTGGAATCCATCTCACAATATTAATGCTATAGGTATTTTTGTACCCCTGTAAATCAATAATGATATCAGGCCAATTATTTCTTCCAATATCCCTTATGAACCTGACTTTAATTACCTTCAAAACAATGTCATTAATCACCCAAATAACCTTACTTTCTAAGAATGAACCACCATGTCGAATAATGTTCCTTCGCTTCCATATGCACCACAAAATGGCAATAGGAACAACCTGAAAAGTTACTTGAGTTCTATAGCTACCTTTCGAGGACCACCACCTTCTAATTGTCTATTTCAGATTAAGCATAGAACCTAGGAGACCAACAACCCTGAAGTAATGATCCCAAACTCTGATAGAAACCTCTCCTGTAAGGAATAGGTGTTCAATAGTCTCCTCTACGGGAATAGAACAACACTTACAATTATGAGAAATAGTAGGATTCCAAAGATGCATTAAACCTGCTATTGGAACTTTACCATTCTAAATTCTCCAACCTAGAAAGGAGAATTTAAATGGTAACCCCTTAATCCATAATAGTTTTAAATCCTCATTCTTATCATATTTTTGTCTCAATAACTCCCAGGCAGTTTTGACACTAAACTTCCATGTACTAGACAGTCCACCAAGGTTTATCTCCATGTTCACTTGACTTCACAAAAAACATGTTAAACTTGATATGCTTCATAACATACACTGGTAAGGCATCTTGTAAAGCATCAAAATCCCAACCTTCTTCTATTAGAAACTCTCCAATGTATCTCATAGGGTGACAAGTGTGCATATCAGACTGGTGTAAGTGTAAGGGACCAAGATTGGTCCAGTTATCATACCACATATTAGAAGTACCCCCTCTGGATTCCCACCACAAGTGTTGTTCTAGGCATTCTCTATTCTCCAACATGTGTTTCCAAACCTGAGAGCCGCCTTTATATATTGTACCAAAGTACGAATTTGTTTCTTACAATATTTATTCCATAAGAAGTTAGACCACAAAGAATTTTGAGTTCTAAATATCCACCACAATTTAGCATGCATAGCCTGAGAAACATCAAACATAGATCTGAAACCTAGTCCTCCTTCTCTTGGCAAACAAACCTTAGCCCATTCAGCCCAGTGCTTACTTCTACCTGATTCCTTATTACTCCAAAAAAATTTAGCAAAGATCCTATATAGTTCCGTAATAACACATTTAGAGGGGGGGGGGGGCAATAGCAGAAAGAACATAAATAGGGACACTTTGAAGAACACTAGTAAGAAGAACTTCTTTACCACCAAATGAGAGCATCTTTCCTTTCCATACTTGAAGTTTCCCTCTTACTCTTTCAAATAATTTTGTGTAATGTTCTTTCCTTTTCCTTGAGTAAATGATTGGACAACCTAAATATTTAATAGGAAAAGAACCTTTACTCATTCATGTACATTGTTCCACCTGGAGTGAACTCCCAACAGCTACGTTCTAGTGCAAATAGTAAAAACTCTTATCTTTGTTCACCTTTTGACCAGATCATTTCTCACAGTCCTGCAAAACAATCATGATTTTCCCCAAAGAATATTCATGAGTTGAAGCAAAAATAATTGTATCATTTGCATAGGCCAAATGATTTAGATTAGCACTCCACTTAGGCATCCCGTGTCCTATGAATTGAGGATCATCAAATAAGGAATTAAGAGATCTAGAAAGAACCTTTGATGATAAAATAAATAGGGTTGGGGAGAGAGGATCTCCTATCTTTACTCCCCTAGTGGAGTGAAAAAACCCATAAGACTGACCATTTAGCAATACCAAGTAATAATTATTAGAAATCAGTCTCCAAACCATATCTACAAATCTGTCCGAAAACTCCATCTTCCTGAGAACTTTCATAAGAAAACTATGATACTTTATCATACGCTTTAGCCATGTCCAATTTTATGACAACATTAACAGGTTTTCCTCTTTTGGTGATGTATGTTACCAACTCCTGAGCCAAGAGGACATTTTCAATAATATTTCTCCATTTGATAAATCCAGACTGATTAGAAGATATTAGATTTGGAAGAATATTTTTCAATCTATTATGAATGATTCTAGACAAAATCTTATTTACAAAATTACTCAAACTAATAGGCCTTATATCTAAGAAAGTTTGAACATTGTCCATCTTAGGTATAAGGCCCAAATTAGTATGAGTTATAGACTTTGGAAAGTGTTACCAGCAAAGAACTCCTGCACCATCCTTATAATATCTAATCTTACTATATCCCAACATACTTGATAGAATCTACCTGTGAGACCATCTGGACCACTAGAACTATCACCATTAAGACTGAACACAACATTCTTAACCTCTACATCATCTGGAATGACCCCCCAAAGTAGTATTCTCTCCACCAGATATTAATTCTGCTATATGAGATAGTAGGGGAAATCGGTAGCATCCCTATCTTGTTTAAACTTATTCTGAAAATGCTCGACGTCTTCTGTTGCTATATCTTCTTCCTCCTCTAACCACGAACCTTGAGAATTTTGAATTTGTAACATCTCGCAATTTGAAATAGCTAGGAAGAAGCTTAGAACTGGAAATAGTCATTTTTGGAAATAATGAAAATCTGGAAATTTGTTTAAGTTAGGAAAAAAGTTGAGTTTTGGTCAACATCAAACGGCCATAACTCCTAGATCAGGGTGAATTAGGTGTACTTCCAGATATGGTTGAAAATCTCTTGGAATGATATTTCCAACGCCTCCGAGTTTGCGCGATTCTGAGTTCATATTGGTAAGTTATGCCCTTTGAAAGTTGGGTTGTTAGATTAAAGAAAGTCTAATCCGGATTTTTGAACGGTAGATTAATCTAGTCTTTTTCTTACCCAATTAATTTAATTCATTTTTGTGAATTAATTAAGTGTCAAATCAAAAGAAGATCAGTTTAGTCAATTGGAAAATACGCTAGGGCTTGGAGAAAAGAGAAAAGAAAGGAAAGG